GCTTAACCGTGTGCACCAATTGTTGTACGCTCGCGGAACTGGAGCATCGCTCGATAATGCACGATTTCCATATGTCGTTGCCGAACTAAACCACCAGCTAGACGAATGGCGGGATGTTCTTCCAGCTACTTTTAGATTTACCGTCGGATATAATTGCGAGGCAACAGAGACGGAACATGGCGGATTTCTTCGGCAGAGATACTTGACCTGTCAGAGCGTGATTTATCGACCGTAAGCATCGGTTTTGTCCAGTTGCTTTCCCCGTTACTAATTTGAACAACGTTAGATACCTGATGTGGATGCTCAGCAAGCTTGGTGCGGCTGGGGAAGCACATGGCGGGCCGGATGGACCCGAGGTGATTAAAGCTTGCAAAGCGTGTTTAGATGCTTGTCTTCTACACATCTTGAACCTCAGGGGTTTCGCACATACAGTGTTGGTGGATACTTGGATATGTTCGCTCTCGTAAGTCCCCCTTTCCAACTCACCATCGCCCAGGGCTCGCAGAAAGGATAAGCAGTCACTCGAGGCCGTCGGACAACAGACTAGTACTAACAAAGCGTCCAGAATGGCGGGAGCAATGCTCGTCCTGCTCGCAGCTTGTAGGATACCAGACTTGCGGGACCTGATAGCCCGTGAAGTTCTCGGTGCAGGACACCACTTACGTCAGCTACTGGAAGGCTGGGAGAGCATTTCGGGCGACCCTAAATCGCCCAGCGTCGAGCAGAGCATACGAATCATCTCCGAGGCGGATCGGTTTATTCAACAGGTTTATGGCACAGATCGCGGCGGCTGAAGACTGCTTCATTATTCATTTCAATCGAAATACGCTTGAAGGCCGTTGTTCGTCGAATAACTTGGTGTTGATGACTTCTGTGTGCATAAAAGTGGGGCCAGCCGGTATGAATAGGGGTAATGGCTCAGGGGTCGGGGTGCCAACCTCGACGCATAAATCCGACAGCGAAATCACTCAAATACAGGAGCAACAATACCGACGATCGACGGACCCGACCGCTTCTTTCTTACGCCCGATATTCTCGATGCTGCCGGGCAACGCACTTTACTAATCGGTAATTCCGAGAAAACTCGGCATTGCAGCAAATCTCTCCACACTAGCGATCGTGGCTTTGACGAGGCCACCATGCTGACTTATTCATTAAAAACTGACCGCGTACCGCGTGTTCCTATTTCCGGATGCATGCAGCAGCATATACATCCCCTCTCAAAGCTTGATTTCAGGATACCAAGAGAAATCATCACTTTTGCTCAGACAATACACTGGCGCCCAGATTATCTCCAATTACCGCCCCAGATTGAATTAGCTGTAGCCACCCCGAGCTCCACTCAAAAACAACATGTCCAACAAAGCGTTTCTCATCACTGGCGCCTCTAAAGGCATCGACAAGCTCGTCTCTGCAGCTGTTGACAAGTTCGGCAACATTGACGCTGTCATTCCCAATGGTAACTCCCCTCCTTTTATCCCCAAATACACAGCTGACAAGACTGAAGCGGGAACAATGCCCATGGCCACTCTTTCCACCGCCACCCCAGAGTCTTTCGACAAGGTCATGAACCTCAACGTCAAAGGCCCGCTCTTCCTCGTCTAAAAAAAGCTGTCCTACACATCCCACTGCGCATTCCACGTAAGGGGCTGGCTTCTTCAAACTCTCAGCAACTTGAAATCTTTGACTCAATGGTGCCTCGCAGAGCCTTACCCAATTCTGTCGTGAACGGCAAGGTTCTGCTGCCGCCGCCGCGGGGCCATCTTCCAGGTCAGCTTGGCTGATCCTGCACAGCAAGGAGACGCTAGTTTCACAAGGAATATGCTCACTCTTCCAGCGCGTTAACTTATGGTGTCGGTGCAAAGCGATGGCGAGGCAAAGACGAACACGATGTTTGGATGGTGGTGCGCTTCTGGACACGGTGAAGCGGAAGAGGAACTGGAGTTTTGGCGAAAACTTCATCTCAGTTGTGTGAAAATCCGGTCAGAGAAGCGGAGAACAACTGACGAGGGGGGTACACCCAGCCAGAAAGAAACGGGTCAACGCTCCAACCACCCTGGTTCGGAGAGGAATCCACAAAGGGAAGGCTCGATGAGATGACATGGGCCCCAGACATTTGCAGCACAGAGCCCCCCTTCTCATCATTTGGTACACGACAGCATACAGGTGAGGCAACCCAGCACTTGGTGTCATACCCCCTGGATCATGCAAGAAATACACTATCGGTGCTGAACTAGAGCTACGGCAAGTGTGAAGAATAGGTGACAAAGGCTAATTCACGCTGCAATAGATCCATAACTTCCCCGGCTAAAATCAAAGTTGTCAATGGGACAACATGGGGCAGAGGATCAATATTCTCCACTGTCCTATCCTGTAAGCAGGATGCTCTGCAGACTCGAAACTTTCATTTACGCAACATCAGCAACTTTGCAGACATTCCCTCTTCTGCGTTTACTAACAGACCGGCTGACAGTTGACTTGTGTCCAGCCGGAGTGTTCTATCTGGGTACACTCTCATACCGCCCCTCTCGCCTGAGACCGCCTCCTCGCCGAATAAAACGCCAGACCAAGCCCCCATAGCCCCAGCAAGATCACCGCTTGCGACGGCGCGAAGATGGCTCCTCGGATGACAACAAATCCACTGACCAACGCAAAGATAACTGGAAGAAGCACCGTCGGCTTGTAGGGTCTTGCCAAATCAGGTTCTCGATACCGAAGAACGATGGCTCCCAGGACAGTGAGAAAGAAGAAGGTGTACTCCCCCAACCCGTTGAAGGTCAGCAGCACCCGGAAACTCCCCAGAAGAATGTACACGGCCGATATTATCAAAGACAGAATAATGGCGTTGACAGGAGCGTCAGACGGCGATTCCTTCGGGCCGTCAGGAGGCGAACTGTCATCGCCGCCCTCGATAGGTTGGGCGCCCACTTGTCCAACAACACTGAAAAGCTGGGGGAACCAATTCATGTTGGCGGCTGCGACGGCCATGCGTCCAGCAACAAAAGAGTTACCCAAAAGCGAACCGGCAACGACCAAGCATATCAAGACGGCAGCCACAGTCCCGGAAGCCGGGCCCAAAAAATGCGTGATGGCGGTCTTTGTTAATAAACATCAGCGAGGGGCCAAGCAGCACAAGAAGCAATAGGATTGAGACTCACCACGGCGACGCTATCGGTCGTTGACACGATCTTCCAAGGAAGCAAGATGTAATAAGATGCATTGGCGGCAATGAAGCACAATATAATGGTAGGAATCGACGTGTTGATCGCCAGTGGCAGCTGCTTTGCGGGCGCTGACAACTCGGCCGAGATGTAGATTGCCTAGACATTGGTCAGTTGTGCATGAACCTCGCTCTCGTTGGTGAGGCTCACCTTGTCCCAGCCTGAATATGCCCAGAGAGCCCCGTAGAGTGCGGCCGAGAGATGCCCCAAGGTCTCCCAGCTACTCAAATCTTCCCAATGGGTAACGCTTCCGTCAGGGTTGATGCTATCCCGATACCCAAACCAAGATTTCCTGTACCAGTCCAGGGGCTCCCCTTTCTGCTCCTCACCGCCAATGAATACGTGGATGGCAACAGCTGAGAAAGCAACAAGAACAACCGCAGCGATGGTGACAAACTTGGTGCCCACAAAAAAGTTGTTGAGCCTGGTGCTTGCTTTCGTACTGATCGAGTTCGCCAGACTGATGAGAACGAGTACCCCAACTGAAAGCAACTTGTGGACAATATTTGCTTCTTGTCCAACAACCCCGGCAGCCGAGTAGATGCTCTCGATGAAGACGATGCTCAAAATGGCAAGGGTAGCCGGCATGACGGCGACAATCCACGTCCATGCCGCGAGAAAGCCAAATACATCACCATATATGTACTTTAGGTATGGTTGCACGCCGCCTATTGTATGTCAGTATCTACACCACAGCAAAGATACATGGCACTTACCCTCCCCAGGAATAGCAGTCCCCAGCTCCGCCAACGTGCTGGCTCCCGTCCATGCTAAAACGCCTCCAACAAGCCAGACCACGAGCGCAGCCCCTGGAGACGGCACATTCGTGTCAATTGAACCCGGTGACGTGAAAACGCCGCTTCCAATGACAATGCTGATGACGATCGCAAAAGCCTCCACCGTCCCCAGATTCCGCGTGAACGTGCCCCTTTCCGCATCGCCCGCTGCACCGCTGCCATTGCCCTCCGATACCGGCCCCTGGCGGTCACCCAACAGCGGTTGTCGCTCTTGCAATGGGGGCTCGTCCTGTTGCGCCGTAGCCATTTTGTCCGAATTTCAGTGATAGGATGTTGTCCTGAAGTCGAAGCTCGGGGCACGATGACTCGAGACGGATGGCTAATTGTTGACTGGGCTCCACACTGGTCGCCCCACATCCGCGCCGGGCGGGAGCGAGCACGCGATCCGTTTTGCCCCTGTCGTCTTGCGCGGCTCAGGCTCGAATGACGAATTGAGGATGCGGGAGGGGCGGCGGGCTTGCATCGGTGTGTGGGGTGCATTGCGGCGGATTTGCCGGGACACGACTTCCCTCCTTCATAGAGGCTCGCGCTGCGTTTCGCACACACAAGCTCGTTGCCAGTGCCTATATGTTGAACACCGCGGATGACTTCTCCGAAAACTTTTCAGATCAAGGAAACTTTACCTGAAATTTACCTGACCCTGGTGTGCGGGGGGACGAAAATCCTACGGCGATATTGTTGCAGGGTTAGGGTTCGATGCCCTCTTCATGAGCGTTGAGCTTGGTATTGGATGCGTGCGAAAAAGAATGCCATGGAAACAATCCAGACCTGCTGACCAGCGAAGCATGCAGTATCTGTAAAGGACGCAAAGCAGTCTTGGAAAGAAAAGCAATTCTCTAGAGACACTACCCTGACAGTGTTGCAACAGGCTGCAATGGGCACCAGTCCAAACGTTTTGACCCACACACCCTCTGCAACTGCCTGGGAATTGCACAGCATCAAAACCACAGTTTCCAGCACAAAGAGATATCAACACATAAAAGCCCGTGTGGCGCAATTGGTTAGCGCGCCAGACTTTTAATCTGGATGTTGCGAGTTCGAGTCTCGCCGTGGGCGTATCCTTTTGGAGATGTACTTTTTTTGCTGATACTTCCTTTGCGCAAACGTTGAGTGGGAACGCGGTGGTAGTTGACTGACTTTCTTGAAGGCAGGGCTGAGACGTGGGAAGGGTTAGGGTTGGCTCCGGTCCTTTGGAGTTTGGATGCAGGATGGTCCTCTACATTGTCGGTTTACTGTTTAGGGTAGGGAGACTGTTTCGGGGCACTGAGCGATGCACGGTGGTTACACCACGTGGGAGCGGGGAGGGCAGCCTTCACTGTGGCTTGCGGATTCCCCAGGAGCGTGGTGGTGAGGACCACCAAATGAGGTTTTAGAGACATCATCATTCAGGATACAGGAATGATACGGTAAGGCGAAATCCAAAGGCTAGTTTGAGTCGGAGGTAAGGCTCACGCTCGCACTGATGGGTTTGCACCCACTGCAGCTCGGCTCCCTGAAATATTTGCCGCGCTGCAGTCCCAGAATTCCGGGGAGAGGGCCCTGCCTACCCAAACTCCGGATGGCTGGACGCAAAATCAGGGACCTCCAGGGCTACCCGTGGGGAAGTAGAAGTTGTTCCTGAGCCAAATTCCACCATGATGCCAAATGCAAATGGATGGCCAAAGTGCAGAAAGGGGTCAGTTCCACCGCACATGCAGGCCTGCAGAGATCCAAGACCGATCCAAAATATTAGACGTAAACAACAATTCGAGCCGACCGGTCGTCGCACAAACACGCCCGTATTGGAATGTCTCGATCAGAATTAAAGATTTCGAGACACCGATAACCGATGAGCAATCTTGATGGGGGGACCCTGGAAATGGTTGTTGCCGGACCAGTGACGTCAGATGCGGCCCACCAGGCGAAAAGGCAGAATCCGCCCAAGCGCAAAGTTTTCCATCGTGCCCCTGTGCCATCGTGGAGCCGAGCCCACCATCGTGGCAAGGTCAGCTGCGGGAAAGGGTCCAATGCGCATAGGGATGACTCAAATGGTAGAGTGCAACTGGAAATTGGGCTCGGCGTCCACGCACCCACATTGCTCACCTCGTGCCGCTGCACACTGTCACGGTTGCGAACGGGAAGTTGTGTAATGTGTTCGCGATTCGCTGCCTGCTTTGCTCCTGGTGAAGGTATCTGTGAGGTGTCGCCCTTTTCGTTGTACTCGAGTGGTACGCCCCTATCCAAAGTGACAAATCCCCGACCAAACAAACGCCTGTAAGGTGACCAATAGTCCAGAGCCAAACAGGCCGCGCTGTCACGAATCGGAGTGACGATGAATGCCAGTTTTTTCCGCTTCCCCGCCCAAAGCTACCAACCGTGGTATAGAACTGTTTCGGCAATGCCATAAACCCAAATCGCAGTGAACTCCTGATCCTGTAATGCCGACCATGCTAATACAACCAAACCGACCAAGTGTGGCCGTATAACATCCCAATCCGCTCTTGGACAAGAGCACTATTCTCCAAATAAGTGTGTCGCGATGTCCGCGGGTCTGTCGTAATCATGCGTGGAATAGCTATGCCGGAGCCTTTTGCATGCTAGCCGGTCGAAAAAAGCGACATCATGTCATCGTCCTAGTAGTAATAGCGCCCACGTCACGCTTCTGATGTCCGGGACGCCGTCGTGTCCGTCGACAACTCCATGCCATTAACCCATGCGTACCGCATCCGTCCGTCAAGGCACGCATTTTTCGTCCCATCCATTTTGCCTGAAAACCGTAGCCTCTTCACTTCTTCGATTTGCTAGTCGTTGCCGTAATCTTGCTAGTCGTCATGAGATCCCCAATGTACTTCTGCAGAAACTTGTTGTTGTTGTCAAGTTTATCGTGCTCCTCCTTGACCGCCTCGATCCTGTTGAATAAAACGACGAGAGACTCTTGCAGTGCCTTGGCATGCCTGGAGCCTGGTCAGTGATGAGACAAGACAGAGACGCATCTGGACTTACCTTTGTAGCTCTTCCCTCGCTGCCTTACCGAGCGTTTCAATATCCTCGCTGGTTCTCCTTGGGCTCATTGACCTCACGTCGTCAGGCCCAACCTGCATCTCGACTGGCCCTACGTCGGTCGAGTCGCGAGGCACAATCATGGTCCCGCTGCTCTTGCGGCTCGGCAGCCGCGGTCGTATGGGCGCCGGAGCGTGGATGCTGCGGTCGACTGACGACCCTGACGATGAATCTGAACGGTAGCCCATGTTCGCCCCGTTCGCTGGACCGCTGTCCTCCATTTATTATTATGCGATACCGATGGTGTGGATGCAAGCGTGCGATCGGGGGAACCGCGGGTGCGATCGATATTTAAGAGAGCGAGCTGTATAGTATGAACAGACGATCCGTCTCCTCCGTCTCCTCAGCGTAGCAGGTTTGCCGTCGCCACCATTCGTCAGATGGCTGGCACACACAGAGCGGAGCGTTCTGTGCCTGTTCACGAATTTGGTGCGTCGGTCGGTTTTTGGGGGGGTGCAAGAAGACGGGGTCGACGGGAGTGAGGCGACAGCGCAAATCCGAGGGCGGCTTGGGCGGGTCTCAGCCTAAGGGGGGGGGGGAGTGGAGGGCAGGTCGCGGTGAGGTGCGATGGGGGGTGGCTCGTTGGTCGCCGCGGAAGCGTCGCCGGGTGGGTAGAACGTCAGATGTCGGTTGCCAATAGGCAAAAGACAGCAACGGCTTCTTGCTAGGCGGAGCAGCGAACGACAGGAAGGCTTTGAGACGGACAGCTGCCCAGAAGGGAAGGGAGGAGACGAAGCGTTTAATCCGACGCGGGAAATTCGTGGTGCGCGATTGGCGGTGGGCAAGGGGTGGAGTTGGTCTGGCGATGGACGGGGGCTGGTCAGGAGATGGTATATTTCTCAGTCCGGTTTCTCTGCCGCGATCAGCAAGCTGTGCCTTGCTGCGTCCGACGGCGACTGGTTGCGAGGGGCTGTTCGGTGTGGTCACAGGAATGCAGGGCCAGGACTTTGTTTGGGAGTTGCTGTTGCGGGAAGCGAGCTGCCGATCGGAGCCTTGAGGGAGGAGCGGCGCTTGGGCAATTAAAGCTGGCAGAATGCGGACGCAGGTTCAAGGGTCGTGTCTAGCAATGGCGACAGCGCAATGCACGATGTGCAACGAGGCGCAACTCTAACGGGAGGGTTTTTGGTCTTGCTTCGCCGGCGCGGTGAACCTGGTCGAGGAGCCATGGGCGCACAAGCGCTCCCGTGTCTGATTTCTCGTTCGGTTGCCAGCAGAGCTGTGGCTGCCTGAGGCGCTGGCATCCGTTTCCCCATTTGGAGCCATTTTCTGGGTTAGCTCAGGAATTGCCAAAGCGTTGATCGGCGCCAGTGACGACACAAGGCTCCCTTTTCATTGGTGGGCCTATCGAACAGCAGGGGTCCAGGGCATGTCTTCGATGATGAAATGGCTGCAGCTTGTGAGAATCCCATGCCACAACCACGCCAATTCGCACCGTCTTCCAAAAGCGGCACACGATGGGCATTTGGTTTCGACGCCAGGCGGTCGTCTTCATGTTTACACCCTGCAGATTCTGCAGCCTCCCCTCTGCTACTGCAACTCTATCGCCATGTCGAGACAGCATGATCACTCTGGATCTCTCGTCGGGTCGACATTAAAAGCGCCACCGGGTTCGGTAACCTTGAGCCTCGATTCCAACCCTCACGTTCCCGACCGCCAGGTGGGATGCTTTCTTACCTTTGGGCCCCCCTTACGTACCCCAAGTATTTGCCTGCTGCCTTACTCATCCAGTCGATCGTCGAATACATTAGCCCATAGTGTACACCCGGCGGATGGCGGTGACCCTGCGCCGACCGTGCCACCCCGTGTCTTGGTTGTCCTTGTTTTGGGATCCCAGCCAGCAACGTGTTACTAAACCCCGCTTCCAACTGCGCTTCGCAAATTCTGAGCTGCGCCGGCCCACGCGCTCCTTTTGCTGGCCCTTGAAGGCAACACGGTCTTCTCGTCAAGCCGATGAAGCAGGGCAGGGTGATGAAGTGTGCCGTCCTCAGGTTGTGCTTTCGGGGCGGCGCTTCGGCAATCGGTTCAGCTCAGTCAGACATTCGATACACGGCTGCCCGCCTAGCTGGGTATCTGGGGTGAGATTATGTCACGATCAGCGGTAACACCATGCGCAGCTGCCGCGCAGCTCAGGTGCTGCTTTGCTTTACGCTCACCATTTTCGGCTTCACGTGCCTGTTCTATTTCACCTTGACCGCGGGGTGCTGACTGACACCACGCAGTGCTCGGACGGCAGTCATTCCGAGCGGTACTTCTGTTACTCTGCACCCTGTCACTGGGGACGTGGCAGGCTACTCCTGTGTTCCGTGTTCGAGCTCGGTTGACAGCAATAACTCGCCGCTTCTTAAATTACACTACAACCTCACTGCCCGAAGCCATATATCGGTTCATTCTCGTCTCTGGCAGGTTTGCTGACGATGTGGCCAGCCAGTCTCACCACACTTCCACGGCCGAGACATCTCTATGAGAGGATTGGTCCTCGTGGTCCAGCAGGCAAGACTCATCAGCAAGTGCTGTCTCGGGCGAGCCAGCAAACAGAAGCAAAAACAGCAAACACCAAGGGCCCACCAGCCAGGTGACAACACGAAGCGACACGAAGCGATGGAGCCAGAATAGACGCTCAGAGTGGTGCAGCATGCCAAGTCTTTGTCGCACTGTGTCCAGACGCTGAAGATCTGCTCGAGGGCCGATGTACCCGAGCAGAGCAGATCAGCCAACCCCCAAAGATGTCACTGGTCACACCGTGTCACCTGCTGGGGGCGGCTTGTTCGGCCACCGGAAGCCTGCGAGTCAAAAACGATCCTGCCGACTCGGCGGAGCCATCCCGCAGCTACAGCGCAAAAATTATCACCGGAGGCGGACGTCTGCCTCCGTCTCGCTGCTTCTCTCGACAGCCACCCAGGGGTCGCCACACCCGTTGCGGATCGTAAACCCTCCACCACCTGGCAACTTGCGGTCGGGACTTCCCGGGCCTCTCGCACAATATTTCACCCTGATCATAACACTTACACCCCCTTCTC